TCATTAATACTATTCACTGTACATTATGGTAACCAATTTTAACATGTTTAAAGATTAAATTAAGTAATTTGGTTACCATAATTGCTATAATTAATCTAATTATATTAAATAATTATACAATTTCTCTTACTTATACTTTGATTAGCTGAATAATTTGGAGCACAATAAGGTAACCAACTTCTATAATTAGGTGCATTGATAAAATCAGAATAATAGTAAGATTCCCAATCATATGTTATTTAAAATATACTGATCATTCCAAGTATTACTTGGTACTTCGTACACGTTTTATAATTGCAAATACTTTCAACTACGATTAATAAATTAGCTTGAGTTTAACTACTTACATTTGATCTATGATTTTAACATGTTTTATATTTGTATGCAGCAGTAGTAACATCATTAGTTCAAATATCATACAAATTATAAAAAATTGTATGATCAAATATTTTTACTTAAGATTCTTGATAAGTAAAAGTCTTCTCAATACTACCAGTTTAAGATGCATTAGACGTACATGTAGCAAAACAACATAATTTTGAATCCATTACTCCTTTGGAAACATGTTCTTTAAGTTATACACATTCGTAACAGTATTACTGATGACTTCCAGATAAATTAATATAAATTTAAAATAATCACAATTAAATTGTATATGTAAATTATTAACCTAACCAATAAGGACAATAATCATATAATCTATTCGTAATTGCACTACCATAATTTCTACATATTTTAAGTTCACAATCAATCAAATTTGCATTTGCTTTATAAGTTGTTAACCATTATCCACATTTTGCTGTAGATGTATTTGTCATTCCATGATTAAAACATGTTTTTTAAATGCATCCGTTACTTGAACTTCTTGTACAATGAGGCAACCAACCTTAACATTATCCTACAGTAGTAAAGGATTATTGACAATAAGAAAAATAACAGACTTCTTTTAGAATCTTAGTTTAGAATAGCAACCTGACAAAGCACCTACATCTGAACGTTATCTATTTTTGCATTCAGTTGTACTATTAAATACATGATACTAAGTAATTCCTACAACCAAATTCCATAATAGGTAATGAAAATGCTGAAGGAAATTTATAATTTTGAATCGATGAAGAATAAATTCCTCATAGAATAATTTTTAGAGATAAAGATGGGTATGAAATAATGGACTTGGTGTCTTTCAAAAAGAGATAAAACTAGTCTTAATATTATAGAAGTAAATTGGCTAAATTATTTTAACAACGTTAAAAATTTAGAGAAAATACATAAAGTTACATGAGTAAAATATACAAGTAGTATCAGATCAACCTGATAATATGGAATCCATGTCTATTAACTAAAGTAAAGAAAGTGAATAAATAAAATCTATTTAAGAAATTTAGTTTTCTTAAAATCAAACTAAACAAAGATAGGAAATAAAAAGATTAAGCTTAAAGAATATATCATATAACAGTGATTATAATATCAATGTCATTTGAGTTTGAGTGCAAGAGTTTGCGGTAAAAGGGTTTTTAATTATTCGCTAGTTTACTATTTTGGAGTTTTCTAGATATTATTATTCAGATATTGTAATAGAAACATATAAAATAAGTAAAAAGTGAATCATATCGTTATTTAAGAATATTTAAGTTTAGATAATTTATTTAAAAAACAATTTAACATCAGATAATATAAATAATTATTTAAGATTCAGGTAATTTTAAATATATAATAACTTTTTTTAGTACATTTTTCGAATTATTATATTAAATTAATCTTGATTAATAATTTATATTTTATATTGTCCATCATTTATAAGTTTCTAATAATCTAGGGCATTAAAATGTCTTTAAAATCTTCCTATATGTTAAATTTTAAAGCAATTATTTTCAAATAAACCTTATACAATATCTATGCGTATTAAACTATATTTTTATTTTATTCTCCAAGAACTCTCACAAAAATCTTAAATAGTAGGTTCCAAAACTAGAATTATTTAATCTTTTCTTGCTGAAATTATTTAAAAATAATTTAAGAAAAAAAATTTTCTCTTATTTCTTAATGTTCTACTAAAAAAAGTTTAGCCAAGTTTGCCTATATCTTATTTATAAATTTTATATAATTCCAAATATCTTTTTTATTGACTTTTCTCTGATTTATATTATTTATTGATGAATAATAAAGAAGTAGATGCTATAAAGTAAAATCAAGTTCATCCCTAAATATTGCCAAAGTATTCTAAAATAAACCAACAATTTTTAGCTTTTAAGAAGAATATTTATAAGAAAAAATAACTCAGGAAGAGGTTGGATTTCAAATTAATCCTCTCACTATTGGAATCTCTTATAAAAAGTATTGGTTTAAAATCAATTTTACCATTGAATTAACCAAAAATAAAAATATAAAATATATACAAGATGGAGAAGTGTTAAGAATGTATTTATTTATTGTTTTCTGTATAGAGAAGGATAGATCCAAATGAAAGATTAAAAAATCAAGAAAAATATTCATTTCATAAAAAACCTATTTTAGGTAGGTAATACTAATGAAAAAAAGAAAAAAATTGGATATGGGTTGCTGATTATGGTCCAAATATAAAAAATGTAAGAGGATATTACAATTAGGCTTGATAAAAAATTGGAAAATGGACTTAATTATGTGACAATTTCCACAAGTTTTAAAAAATATTTAGTCTTTTGTTTATCAGAAAATATAATAATGGAAAAAGATTTTCAAAATGGATAATTAAAGAAAAAAATGAAGTTATGTAATATTTCATGAATTCAATATCTTATTATACTAGTGATTCTAAAATCATTCATAGAGGAGAATGTGTTGAAGGAATGAAATTTGGAAAATGGGAGACTTTATAAATATAGGAAAGATGATCAAATTTTCAAATTATGTTTAAGTTATAATATCTTAATGAGGACGAGAATCTTATGATAAGTGAGAAATTAAGCACGATAATTGGATAGGTATAATTGATATTTATGAAATGTATAATTTTAGTTTAATTTTAGGGAAAGCTAAGTTATAACAAAGGTAAATATTAAAAGGGAAGTTGGGAGATATTAGTTAAAAGAAGAATTTAAATTAATGTAAATATTTAGTGAAATTATAATAATTACGGAAATAAGAATGATTTATGGATTGATTTATATTTATACTTATCTTTATCGATTATAAACTTCTGGAATTAATTGCTAATATATTTTCAATATTTTACTTTACAAATTTAAAAAGTGATAGAAATATAAATTTATAACATGAATTCTTCTAACAATCCAGAAATGTTTAATAATGTGGATCAAATTGGCAATCTTTAGTTAGCATGGCAAAAAAAATAAAAAAGATGGTAAATGGATTGCTTTTTGGAAAAATAAACTTTTAGAGAATGTTGGCGGATTATGATTTATACTCTATACTATAGAGAAGGGGAAAAGTAAGGATTATGGAAAGATCTATTCATCAATTTTTCTAAGTAAGTTATTGATATTGAACAATACGAATACTAACCACACATTTTTCAAACTGGAGAATATTTTACTGACTAAAGAGTTGGAAAATGGAATTTTAAATATAAAGATGTAATGATTTTTTAAACCATTTAGAGGTGGGGGTTATTACAATCATGATAATTGTAAACAAGGCAAATGGATTGAGTTAGATGAAGGGTTTTATTTCAAGAAATAGGTCACTTATAATGGTGAATATAATATGAAAGGTATGAAGATTGGAAAATGGAATAGTATGTATTGTGAGTCGCATGGTCAGGAATACAAATAAATGTAAATATTATTTAAGTATAAGGTATATAGTGGTGGTGGATCATATGATTAAGATGGAAATTAGAAAAAGATGAATTAGATGAAGGGTTTTATTTCAATAAATAAGTCACTTACAATGGTGAATATAATATGCAAGGTATGAAGATTGGTAGGTGGGTTAGTATGTATTATAATTAAAAGAGATGGAAATAATAATATTGTGGTGGTGGATCATATGACTAAGATGGAAATTAGAAAAAGATTGGAAAGTGGGTAGAATTAGATAAAAAGTTTAGCAAAGTGAAATAAGTCACTTATAATGGTGAATATAATAAGCAAGGTATGAAGATTGGTATGTGGGATAGTATGTATTGTTGTTCTTTTTTAAATACAAATAAATAAATGTAAAAATGATTTAAGTATAAGGAATAGTGGTGGTGGATTATATGATTAAGATGGAAATTAGAAAAAAATTGGAAAGTGGGTAGAATTAGATGAAAGGTTTGACCAATGGAACTAAGTCACTCACAATTGTGAATATAATATGCAAGGTATTAAAATTAGCAACTGACAGCAAAACAAATTAAATGAAATTATAAATAAAAATTGAAAAACAATCTGCATTTTTTTAAAACAAAAAAATAATAATTTCTTATAAGAATAAAATTATTAATTTATTTTTAACATTTATATTTCAACCTATATTTATAAATTTATTAAAAATTAGTTTTCAATTATAAAATACACTGATTCGATCCTCAATTAATTAATATCATTTTGAACATTAAATTTATTAGAATATCTGTATATTATGAAGAGAAATAATCTCAAACTGTTTAAATTAGATACTTCAAAATTTAGTTAAATAAATAAATATACAAATACTGTTAAATCTTGTTAAATGTATTGTTTATATTGATTAAAATAGTATAATAATTTAAATATTCACAAATTAGTTCTTCTTGTAAAACAGTAAATTTATGGTTTTTAAATACAAGGAAAATCTGATTCTGAAAAATGCAAGGAAATGTAATTTAAAAATAAAATTTTTGTGTTTATGGTGACCCTTTTTCTTGAAAATATCATATTATATTTTAAAAATCTGCTACTTTGAACTTGTTTATTCAGTAGGGCACCAAACTCATAAAAGATTTAAACTAATAAGTTCTCTGTCATTCATTAGACTTATCTTCATCTATATTAAGGTTCTAAACTCATATGAAATATCAATATATTTTCTCTGTTCATTTACTTATCAATTTCTTTAATACGTGATAAGAGGATTGAAATTTTCATTTATTGATAAAGGCAAAAAAAAAATCTAATTGTAGTTTATAATTGATTAAAAAAACCTTGCCAAAATTCAAATTTCTTGAATCAATTAAAAAATCTATACTTAAGAGGTCTTTGATTGTTCCTAAATTGAATATGTTTTAATTTAAATTATTTTGGAAAATAATTAATCAATCAAATATTTATTTGGTAATTATTAGAATGTTAATGAAATGAATTTTATTGATTTCATTTGTATTTAGAAAATATATTTTTCAGTACCATAAACTTTAAGATTAAAGTATAAAATATTGTATTAAATTAAGTTTAAATAGAAAATATTTCAGATAAAACAATCAATTTTTCAAATATATTATAAATATTATTATTAG